GGACGACTGGTGGACCCTCTACACCGATGGCTCCTCCGCGACCAAAGCATGCGGGGGAGGGGTAGTCCTCATTACTCCCGAGGGCTTCAAAGCCTACTATGCAATCCGCTTCTCCTTCAAAGTCTCCAACAACGAGGCCGAATATGAGGCCCTCCTATGTGGCCTTCGGCTGGCTGCCAACATGAGGGCTCGGCAGATCCACATCAAATGCGACTCCAAGTTGGTCGTTGGCCAAATCTCCGAGGAATATGAGGCCAAGGAGGGAAGAATGAAACAGTACAAGGAAGCGGCCAAGGAGTTGCTTAAGGTATTTGAGGCACACTCTCTCACTCAAATACCGAGGGCTCAGAACTCCGAGGCCGACATATTATCTAAGCTCTCGGCCGACTCCCCCGAGCACATCTCCAAAATTGCCAAAATTGAGGAACTCAGCCTCTCAAGTATCCATGCAAGCCCCGTTATGAACATACAACAACGCCAAGAGGATTGGATCTCAGATATCACCGCCTTCATCTCCACAGGGCAGCTACCCGAGAATGAGACCCGCGCTAAACTGGCAAAGCTGAGGGCTCCTAGCTACACCATCGAAGATGGAAGGCTCTACAAACGATCTTACAATGGCACGCTACTTCGGTGCCTTCATCAAGATGAGGTCGAGGTCGCAATGGAGGAAGTACACAGTGGCACTTGCTCAGCTCACCAGGGACCCTTCTCCATGTCCCGAAGGCTCATTCTCCAGGGCTACTTCTGGCCAACCATGGCCAGAGATTGTGCCGACCTTGCCCGGAGGTGCACCGCATGTCAACATTTCCAGAAAGCCCCCAGCAGGCCGGCGGTCAACTATGCCCCCATCAGCACATCTGTCCCTTTTTCTCGATGGGGGATAGACCTTGTGGGCCCTCTGCCGAGGGGTACCTCCAACAACAGGTACATCATTGTGGCCATCGACTACTTTACCAAGTGGGTGGAGGCTGAGCCCCTCGCCAGTATCACGGAGGCGAAGTGCCGTCATTTTGTCCTCAAGAACATCCTCACGAGGTTTGGCGTCCCCCAGCAGATCATCTCCGACAATGGGACACAATTTGAGGCAGCCCCCTTCTGTGCCCTTCTGGAGGCATGGGGCATCAAACACACCTTCTCCTCCGTTGCCTACCCTCAAGGCAACGGGCAAGTAGAGAATGCCAAACCGGACCTTGCTCGAGGGCCTCAAAAAGAAGCTGGAGGCCGAGGGCGGTGGCTGGGTGGAAGAACTCCACAACATCCTTTGGGCCTACCGCACCACCCCTCGGCGAGCAACAGGTGAAACACCCTTCTCCCTTTGCTACGGTTTTGAAGCCAAAGCTCCTACGGAAGTCACCCTTCCCACCCGAAGGGTGATCCAATATGACCCCGAGGTCAACGACAGCAACATGGCCCTCGACCTCCACCTCATTTCAGAACGCCGGGAGCAGGCCTTCATCCGGGCAGAAAACTACCGAAGGCAAGTCAAAAGCTACATCGACGCCAAAGTTCGCACCCGAGAATTCCAAGTGGGGGACTATGTCCTCCGGAGGAGGGAAGCCAGCCAACCAACCGAGGGAGGAAAAATGGCACCAAAATTCGAAGGCCCCTACATCATAGCAGCCATCATCAAACCTGGAACTTACAAGCTCAAACGCCCCAATGGAAAAGAGATCCCCAGGCACTGGAATGTACACCATTTAGTTAAATTTTATCAATAATGTAAGAGCGGCCAAGCCCTCATAACTAATGAATGTACTATCCTTTGGCCCAAGGCCTCCACTTTTGAGGAATGAAGATACATTCAAGACACCAAAGACAAAACACTTATGAGCGGCCAAGCCCTCATACCAACTACAGGCCCCATGTGCTCTCAGTCAAGACCCCTCGGTACCAAGTACCGGGGGTACACATCTCCGCCCTCAAACATCAAAGATAAGAACACCAAGTGTTCCTACAGAAGACCCTTCGGCACCCAGTGTCGGGGGTACACATCTCCACCTTCAACATCAAAAAAGAAAAGATAAGAACACCAAGTGTTCCTACAGAAGACCCCTCGGTACCAAGTACCGGGGGCTACACATCGAAACTAACACCAAGTGTTGTTTCTAAAAGTCGTACCCCACGAGGACGCATATACCGAAGGCGCCACCATCGGTGCCGGTGGCACGTAGTGCCCCCGGCCATTTGCAACTATTGTGCAAATGAAAACCCTTCCTTGAAACGCTTTCCGCGTCACTACCCCCAGGGTATGACAGGCATGAGAAATGCCCAGGATTCGACTTTCAAAAACGGAACGCTATCCGCGTCATCACCCCAAGGGTATGACAGGCACGAGAAATGCCCAGGATTCGACTTCCAAACCGAAACGCTCCCCGCGCCACCACCCAAAGGGTGTGGCAGGCCACGGACTATGTCTAGCGCCGAGGGGACGACTTTCAAAAATGAGGCGCTTTCCGTGCCATCCCCCAAGGGGAGGCAGGTTACAAACCACCATATCTTGTGCCCAGGAAACGACCCTCGATCCCCTCGGAACTCGGAAGGTTAACCCGAGGGAGGAGAGCCATTGGTGTATTCTGATGGTCTCCTAATAGGCCCAGCCTTACCAAGAAACCAAGTTTCTTGATGCCTTCCCTTCACCACCAAAAAAAAAGGGGGGGGTCAAGGGGAGTAGACTCAGCGAGAAATCAAAGAGTACACTCCAACAAATCACAACATGCTGAGGGCTCCCCACGGGAACACCTCCGGTAATTGAAGGCTCCTATCTCCCGAAGGATACTACTCAAACAAATATCGTCAAGAAATGACTAAGTCCACTGCTTGGTCACCTCCGGTCACACAAACACTGAAGGCTTCAACAATACGAAAGGACTGAACTATCCAAAGTCCACTAAAACGGTACCTCCAACAAATTCACGAGGCCATCTCTTATGCAATAATACCGAGGGCCCTTACCCCATGACAAGGGACACAACTGGCTAAGTCAAACTCTACAACTCTCCAAGCAATTGCCGAGGGCACATACTCCTCATCGGCTTTCTTTACAACAACAGGAGTCCACACTTTTCCTAAGTCCACACTTTTGGAAAATGACAACAACCAAAGGCATATATTACAAATCATCAAAAGCCAACCAAGGGTACTATTCCAAAATATTTGCCCCTCAGACAGACTCCTCACTGACCGAAGGTCCAACATCTACGACACACTGTGAAATTTTGCTAAGTTCCACATATTTTGCCCTCGATCAAATACTCATACAACTCAAGGGCCCCACGATCACCCGAAGGGTCCTATTCATATACCCGGAGGGCTCTACATCCGGAAGCTCGACACCACTTTACGCTTAAAGAAAAAAAAATGTTCTAAGTCCTAAATGAGTAGCCCCCGGGCATCTCGCGAAGTGATGTAGAGTCAGAGGGCACCTATCACCCGAAGGCGACACAAGGAAGCAGCACTTGGAAAAAATTCTAAGTCCTAAAGATTGGGCCCCCGGCCCAATCAATATTACAGCTAAATGAATATGACAGTCGAAGGCTATGCATCAAGAAGGGAGGCCATCTCCCGAAGGCTCCCAAGGGAAAATCTACACTTAGAAAATTTTCTAAGTCCTACATATTTTTCCCCCGGTCACCTACTCATACATCAAGAAGGGATGCCATCTCCCGAAGGCTCCCAAGGGAAAATCTACACTCAGAAATCTTTCTAAGTCCTACATATTTCACCCTCATCTCAAGGGACCTAATAGCCGAAGGCTACCTATCAATCAAAGGCTACATGACACACTACACTTGCAAAAATTTTCTAAGTCCTGTACATTGGGCCCTCGGTCCAATGTTTACGCATCGGGAAGGGGGCTACCAGTCGAGGGCACCCGAAGGCCAAACTACACCTAGAAATTTTTCTAAGTTCTAGGAATTGGGTTCTCAACCTAATCACCACACAGCAATGGAACTACAAACATCCGAAGGCCCTATGGTGTGCTACACTTAGGAGAATTTTCTAAGTCCTAATTACTGCTGAGCCCTCGGTTGTATATCCAGCAAAGGGTGCCCAACTGCCGAAGGCCACAACCGTATTCAAACACTTAGCAAATATTCTAAGTCCTAGACATACATTCAAAAATACCGAAGGCATACATTCAAGAAAAACGGAGGCAAACATTCAAGAAGAAAGGAATTAGAGAAAGCAAGTCATGTATATATACAAGGCCCGAAGGCTAACACTTATCCATCAATCATCACAAAAAGGAGTAAATGTAATTGTTACAAACAGGCTGAAGCCGAAGGATCAATAGTGTCACCATTACAAGTAAGCCCTAATGTTTACTAAGTACACATTACAAATCAACAACATCATTCCCGGGGGTCGCCTCCTCCGATGGCTTCGAGGTAACCTCCTCCCCGGTGGCGTCCTCGGCATCATCATCGACACCCATCATCATAGAATCATGAATCACCGGGCGCTCTTCTCCCTCGGGGAGGGGGACCCTCACATCTGGCTGCAACGGGGGGAGGCCATACACTGAGGGGTTAAACTCATCCAGGGAGGTGCCAAAATGCCGGGCGAGCCTCCGGTAAACCAGGTGCTGGGTGAAGAACTCGCCGACTTGATAGTAGGTGTCACCCCTCTCGTTCATCCAGTCGAGCCCGGGGCCCCTCACCCACTCCTCGATCGAGGCCTTCACCACAGAGGCCACCCACTCACTCTGGCCCTCGGCCTTCCAGCCCTCGGAGATGAACCCAGCGATGGCCTCTTCTCGGGCTTTGACAACAGCTTCGGCCTTGGCCTTTTCGGCGTCCTCAGCCGCTTGCTTTCTCTCCTCGGCCGCAACCCTCTCGGCCTCTGCCTTGCCCTCGGCCTTCCCGTCATCTCTGGCCTCCTTCAGCCTCAGCTCCGCTTGCCGAAGGGCGTCCTCCAGCTTGCACACCTCCCGGAGGGCAGCGTCCTTGTCGTGGATCAGCTCCTTCACGGACTTCTCTAGCTCGGCCTTATGACGGCGCCACTCCTCGCGCCTTCGGGCCTGCTCACCGAAGGTTATACACGCCTGTTGAATAACGGACAAAGGGTTCAGACGGGCATTGGGATTGTACTAAGTGTTAAGATAAAGTCAAAGTAAAAACACTTACAGCCAGAGCTGATCGAAGGGCCTTGCTTTCGAGGGCGTCATCGTCATAGGTGGAGAGGGCTTCCTTATCCATCATCGAGGTAATCCCCCTCAGGAAAGACATCGGTTCAGCTGAACCGTGCAACACAGATGCCCCCGGAGCGAGGGAGAGCCGAATAATCTCCCGAGGCATGTTCCCCGGGGGAAGGTCTGTTTGAGCCATCGGAGTGTCAATGGCCGGGGGGTCAGCGGAGGGCTGATCATCAATTACTATGAGGGGGGCCGCCTTTTCAACGGCGCCCCCGATAACCTTCTGTTTCTTGATCGGGGGCTCCACCCCCTTGCCTCCCTTTTTCTTCTTGGCGGCCACATCGGCCTTCGCCCCCCCGGCCACAGTAGCGGGAGCAGCAGCAACTGAAGGCTCCGCAGCCTCCTTCGGGAAAACCTCATCAATGGGCTTTTGACCCGAGGGCTCCTTCTTCTCCTTCTTCTGGGCCTGCGCCATCTCCTTCTTCTTTTTCATTGCGAAGAGAGCCTCCATACCTGCAAAACAATGCAAAGAGAATATTAACCCGAAGGATTCATACCACAAACAACTATCGGGATGCAAAATGAGAATGCCTAAGTACAAGACTAAGGGCCCTCGTAGACTACCTCTTGCCAACCGGACATAGCACCATCTGTCTTTCCAGCCCTTGTTGGACGAGGGCGCCTCGGTGAACAACTTGAACTTCGCTACCTGCTGCAAATTGGTGAAGCCCTCGGCATTCGCGTGCCCCCCTCGGCACAAGTTGAAGCTTTGGAAGAAGAGGTCCAAGCTTGGGGTAACATCCCTCGTCCGGCACAGGTGCAGAAAGCCAGCAATATATGAATGGCTGTTGGGGGGTAAGTTGGCAAGGGATGAGTCCAACGAACCTGAGGTACTCCCGGAGAAATGGGTGCAGGGGGAACCGGAGGCCCATTGACACCGACAGGATGTGGACGGCAATACATCCCTCGGGTGGCCGGGGCAGCAAATCATCGACGCCTGGCTCCACCACTACGGCCGAGGGCCCAATGTGCAGCTGCGTGACGTACAAATCAGCCCTATCCGCCTTCGACTTGATATCGAGGGCCTCGGTATTTAGCCAGGTATACCCCTCTGGCATTTCAACAGGCCCCCCAGCACCAGCGGCAACACCCTTCTTCTTGGGGGCAGCCCTCTTCGACTTCATCTTCTTTTTATTACCGGGGGCTATCCTCAGAGGCGTCGGGTTCAACGGCCTGGAGGTACTAGGCTCACCACAGTCAGTCCGAGGGGGTGGCACAGCAACAGTAACCGTCATCGCCTCCTTTTGGGCTTCGTCCTCCGCCACCTGATACGCGAAGGCTAATTCTTCATCTTCGCACTCCTGTTCGAAGCCCTCGGCTTCCACTTCAGCGGCAAGGGCCTTCTGCAACTCCAAGGCTACGGCTTCGTCATCAGCAACCGAGGGCGCACTGCTACTTGACTCAACATCGGAAGCAACCTCGTCCTCAACCGAGGGCTCCCTCGAGATATTCTGCGAGTCGCTTTGGGACGACATCCTTGGTGTACTTAGGCTAAGATTCCTAAATCGAGGGTTCTCTACAAGGCTATGACACCTAACCTAAGTCCAGGGAGCAAAAGCTAACGAAAAAACGGTGAGGAACGAAGGGAGAACTGACCTCTGAAAGTTGCTATGATCGAGGGTGATTTTCTCTCTCTAGAAAAATTCCGACAGAGCTTCGCTAGGACAGGTGATCGCGCAAGAAGAAATGACTCTGGCTCCGGGGTATTTATAGACTCCAGGGTCCGGGATTGGGCCCGAAAACTAGGCCTCCGGCCAAGCGTCATCATTACACACCGTCGTTTCACCCAACCGGTGACGCCCGCCCACGAGCAGCCAACGGCTACACTCCACGTGTACCCCCCCAACGGCTATAAACCTGACGTTACATATTCCAACGACTATATTTCCAACGGCTATATTCTGGAAGCCCCCGGGTTTTCTACTTCACTCCACTTCATCAAGGAAGCCTCCGGGTACACTTACCCAGAGACGCCCCCGGGTTGTGCCCCACACAGCACATAACAGACGCCTTCGGGATCACTCCTTCAGAAACCCAAGGCTTCATATCAGGGCACCCCTCGGGGATTCCCCCTCAGCACCGTAAGAACCGGGTAGCCCCCGGGGAGTTGCCTCATTGACGGACAGCCTACGGCACACAGGTAATGGGAGCCCCCGGGTATCCCCATCGCCAACTAACCAGCAAGCAAGGGACCCCCCCCCCCCCCCCCCCCCCCGCGGCATAAAATCACTGCATTCATCCACCATGCCCTCGATCCCCAGATTGAGGGGCTCCCCTTCGGCACCCCCGGGACATCAACAGCAAGCCTTCGGCTAATCAACACAGGAGCCCTCAGAAGAGAGAGCCTTCGGCATTACCGTTGTTCTCCATTTTTGACCAAGGTTTTACATTTTCGATTCATCGTTGGGGGAATTCGGTGCACTCTTTTTCCCTCATTAGGATTTTTTCCCTCAGGGTTTTTCCTAATGAGGTTTTTAACGCGGCATCCCCCCAAAATGAAACGAAAAGCGTCAGCCTTCGGCCCACAACAGCAACGCAACTACTCTACTCCTTTTCACCACTTTACAAGTGCCTCAAGGAGTGGGGGACTGGAGAACCCCCTCGGGAAAAACATTAAATTACAAAATTGGTAAAAAATTCGAAACAAACGGCAAAGCAAGCCCTCAAGTCCCGACATGTGGGTAACTGAGGGACTGCCTTCGACAGGGGCGTGAAAGCAACAAACTCCTCACCAACTTCAGAGGTTACGACAGGACAACATCAAAGGGCAAGCACAAATTACTCCTTTTCCCTCAAGTACCTTTCGGCAAAAGGAGTGAGGGACTCCTGATGGAGTATATGGCCCGGGAACCCCCGGCCCACAGACTCCTACTACTCTAGCAAAGGCCCAACAGGCCCAAATCACAGCGCCCAGAGTACCAAGCAGCCCGCACTACGCGCCAGGGGTGCCTTCGCCCCCCTGGCCGAAGGCTCTAAACTCTCACAGAACGGGTTTCTCAAGCAAACTAAGAAACTGGGAGAAAACGGCAAAAACAGTAGCCCTCGGCACTAGGGTGCCACCGGTTTGAGGAGCCCTCGGCTGCTGCTCTATAGCCGAAGGCATCTCACTCGACAAGATCTCCTCTTCACGCGCGTACAGATCACCGTACCCTGTGCAACGTCCCATCCAACAGCCGCATTAAATGCGGCCACATGCGTTTGCCAACGCCAACCAGTTGAGGTGACCCCTCGGCCAATAGGCGCTTGACACGTGTCCCTGTCCGGCATTTATTGCTACTATAAATAGCACCCCATCTCCCCATTTGTAACCACGCTGAAAACGCTGAAAACGCTGAAAACACTCCACATTTATAATACGCTCTCTCTCTCTCTCTCTACATTTACTTGCTCTGACTTCTCTCTAAGTTATTCCCAGCAATAACCCTTCGGATATATACCCCCGGGTAGACTATCCATCATAAACTATTACACCAAAAGTGTGTAATTTCCAAAGCAACAATCAATCAAAACTAATTAAAAATACAAACATAAACAAGCTATGTGGACAATGAGGATGAAACTCTTTTCATAAAGGTGAATCGAAACAAGAAAAAAGAGGTGCTTGGGGCAAAAAAAGCCACAACTTACAAGCTATTGGTTTTTCCTATTCTCTCCAAGAATATTGATAAACCAACGAGCAGAGAGTGTAACACCGAATGTGACTTTGATTGGGAGGGGCGTCAAATCTTGAGCGTGCATGAAATGGAGGCCGATGATATAGTTACAAAGTTTGTAACCAAGGAAGATGGCATGCACGTTGCTTTTAAGTAAGTTTAACGTGGGCCGTTCGGGTGGGACTCATCCACATTGGTTACCAGGGACTTTTATATGACTATAGGGGCTAGGTATTGTCCATAGTTAAAGGAATGAAATGATAGCCATATCCGGGTTAGGATTTGGTAGGAATAAGATGGGGGTAGGGTACCCTTGGACGGTAAATGATCCTAAATACTCCAGGTTGGGGTTGAGTACCCTTGGGTGGTAAATGATCCAGAATACTCCAAGTTGGGGTTGAGTACCTTTGCGCGGTAAATGATCCAGCATACTCCAGGTTGGGTTGAGAACCCTTGGACGGTAAATGATCCTAAAACACTCGGTAGTATATTAAGACTGTAGAATGTAGCTCGTGAGCTAGGCATTCGGGATAAGAAGGAGAAACGTTTGGGTAAGGACTGTAAGGAATAATTGTATTTAGATTTTGATGATGTTGTATTAATTAGGACTTTAGATTACCCCTTTAGAAATTATGTATTAGAATTTTCCTTTGTAAAATTCTTAGATGTATTCGACTTGACAGAAGTGCTTCAAGAGCAGAAGTGCTTCAAGAGCAGAAGTGCTTCAAGAACAGAAGGGCTCCCAGAGCAGAAGTGCCTCTTAAGGCTTTATTGAAACAGAGGACCTTTGGTTCTCTGCTCCAGAACAGAAGTCCTCAGGACCTCTGTTAGTATTGACTCTGACAGAAACCCTTCTGGGTCTCTGTTGGATACTCCCAACAGAAGTGCTCCAGACCTCCTCTGTTCTACTCTCAGACAAAGACACCAGAAGGTCTGACACTTAGAAGATTTTCAAAGAACCGGGAAGTCAACTTAAAGATTCCTTCAACGGCTAGGAGTATAAAACGGAAAAGCTACAGTGCATGCATTAAATGCTCATTTAATGCACCCCATGCTACGTAGAGTAATTGCAGATGATTGGCCGGAATGTCAGGAATACTTTATCCCAAAATAGTAACCCGCCAACCTTACCGGGCTCTACTAGTCAAGTCAACTGTTCGCTCATTTAATGCAGTTGTCCTCCTACTCCTCCAACGGGAAGACAACCTCAGTATAAAAGATACACTACGAAGAACAACCGGATAACTTAGCCATAACCTTGCTATCACATTGCTAACCAAGCAAGATATTCAAACTCTGAAAAGCAAAAGCCTCCTTGAGATTCAAACTTAGTATCCTCTACAAGAGAAGGCAGAAGTTGGAAAAATACTCTTTCCAACTCAAGCAAAGTTCCAAGTGTTCTTCAACTCTTCAAGCTCTTCACATACACATACTTTGTAACGAAGCTAGTTGGAGGAACCTCAGTTTCAATAGAAACTCTTCTTGCTACAAGAAGGACGTCCAAATAACTGGAGTAGTGAAGTGGTGATACTTCAAGGAGACTCAGTGAAAGGACCAGTGTTAAAGGAAGCCAGGCAGTGCATCCCA